TTTGTTATTTACCCCTCTATGAAACTAATAAATATAATAAGTTTACAATTAATGATTTTAAAATGTAACAGCAGTGATACTATAGAGAAATCTACAGATTCATCTAATAATGATTATCAGTATGAAAAAGATTTAGAGAAATTGAGAATGGGAGCAATTGATACATTCACTAAAATTTTAAAGTTCATTTATATATTTAAATATGATAGTAATTGTTGTATAATTATGAATAATAATATAAACAAACCTAGTAATTATACCGATTATAAAAAAGCTCTCATTGATTTAATTGTACTAATTAAAGCGAATCCTATTCAAAAAACGGAATCTTTTAATTTGTTCTTAGGAAAATTTTCTAATGATGATTCCAAAATAATTAAATCAGAAATTAACTCGATATTTGAGGTTTTTTCAAATGTAAATTTAGATGAATTAAAGAAATGTAATTTTGATGAGGCACTAAACTTAATTAAGAAACATCTTTTCATTCATATTTATGTTCTTTTATCAGAAAAAATATCTGATATTGAATATTTCTTTCAATCAGTTGCATTTCAATCTAATAACTTAAGTAATATAATTAAAGAATGTGAAGATTCATATGAAAGTATTTATACTTTTGATCAAATAAAAAGGTTATATGATGCAATTGATAAAGAAGATAATAATGGCGATATAGAAAAGAATAATTTTGATAAAGTTAAAAGTACCATTTTAGAAATTTTTAGTTTGAAAAATGCAATTAATTGTCTACTTCTTTTTATTCAGTATACAAACCTTGATGATAGTATGCTCGAAAGTCCTAATGCAGTGTTGCATGAATTTTACAATAATATAATAGCAGAAAGGATTAGAAAATTTGTTGAGGGTTCTATCGAACGTGTAGGAGATATGGTATATGGTGATGATAAATATAATTTCTTTGATAATAAATGTACAAATCCATTAGACAAATATTTTATAAGATATTATGATAGAGGTGTCTCGTTAGATAGAATTGGTGATGTTTTAAATAATCATTTTAAAGAAATCATGTACTTTTATTTAGCATTTAAAAAAGATTTTAATAAAGATAAATGGAATCCAGAAAATGATTATGGTATTACTTATTTTTTAGAACGTAATGAAAAAGGATATAGATTAAAAGAGAAAAATACTTACGCTGGTAAAATAGTTTATTTTTTTAATTTAGAAGAAGATGAAATTATATTTAAAAGAACAGTAATGTTTCTGAGGTTAAAGCAATTCCTTGGTTTGAAATTAATAAGAAGAGTAATAGAAGTTTTTTATCAAAAATTATTTGTTGTTTTAAGAAAAAAGATAAGGAAGTTAAGGAAAAATTTGATTATGTTGAAGAAACTAAATCAATAATTTTAACAAAAAATAACAGAGTTCTATTATCATTTTTAAGGTTAATTAAATATTTATGGATTGATGTCCATTTAAATGATTTCTATGATGAAATTTATAATAAAAATATTAAAGATGATAAATTAGAAAGAAAAAAAGA